ACTAAGCTTTTTTGGGTGAGAGAGCCGCTAAACTGAAGATAAGCTGTGTGTTTGAGAACAGTGCAGAAGCCAAGTTTTTTTTGGGTGAAAGAGCCGTTAAGCTGAAGATAAGCTGTCTGTTTGAGAACAGTGCAGAGACCAAGCTTTTTTGGCGACCCCTGAGAGAGCGGCTAAGCTGGAGATAAGCTGCCTGTTTGAGAACAGTGCAGAGGCCAAGCTTTTTAGCGACCCCTGAGAGAGCCGCTAAGCTAGAGATAAGCTATCTGTTTGAGAACAGTGCAGAAGCAGGTCAAGCTTTTGGCGATCTACGAGATAATTCATCTTGTCTGGACCTGTTGATTTTCTCAGCATTCATATATTTTTGAGCTTTTGTTAATAGTTTCGGCATGCTCTTTGGTGGTCGCTTCATTACTGGAAAGAGGAAGTTTGATGACTGGAGGCCTCCTAGGAAGATGGTCATGCTGACCTTATCATCGGGCTCCTCGACCTGAAGGACCTCCTCATTAAAACGAGTGAGGTAGCTCCTTAAGTTCTTGTCTCAATTCTGTTTTATGCTAAGTAGATGGGTGGCAGGCTTTTGTTGGTAGCGTCCACCAATAAACTGTGCCACAAATGATCTACTCAGTTCAGCGAAAGAGCCTATGGAGGCTGGGGTGAGTTTGGCAAATCATTGTCGTGCGGATCCCTTCAAGGTGGTTGAAAATGCCCTACACATGATTTCGTCTGGGATGTTGTGCAGCTGCATCAGTGTTTTGTAGGTGTCGAGGTGGTCTAGTGGATCCTTCGTTCCGTCAAAGGTCTCCACGGATGACATTTTGAACTTTTTGGGAAGGGGGTAGTTCGCCATGTCAAGTTTAAAAGGCGTGTCTGTCCGCCTTTACAAATAGTCCACTATCTTGAGTCCCTGCACCTTCATGGCGTTGAGGACGTCACCCAGCTGATTTTGCACTTCTTTAATTTTCTCGTCCTAATGATTAAGGGCTCCTCTGGAATAATCATGAAAATGATTCTCATACTTCATGCTTTGGTTTTCGCCCTCATTCTCTTGGAGATGAGGGTTTTCACCATGGAAAGCAGGAGGAGAGGGAGTTAGAGGTCCCTCGTGATGGGCTCCCCTGTGTGGGGCACCCAAGGGGACTCCAAAGGGGGTGCCTAGACCTGCATGGACGCCCAAATGGGGAGCAGTAAGGCGTGGAGTTCCTTGATGTCTAAGGCGTGGAGTTCCTTGATGTCCAAGGCATGGAGTTCCTTGATGTCCAGGGAATGGAGCTCCTTGATGTCCAGGGCGTAGAATTCCTTGATGTCTAGGGAGTGGAGCTCCTTGATGTCCAGCGCGTGGAGCTCCTTGATGTCCAGAACGTGGAACTCCTTGATGTCTAGGGCGTAGAGCTTCTTGATGTCAGGGAGTGGAGCTCCTTGATGTCCAGAGTGTCGAGCTCCTTGATATCCAGGACATGGATCTCCTTGATGTCCAGAACGTAGAGCTCCTTGATGTCCAGGGCGTAGAACTCCTTGATGTCCAGCGCGTAGAGCTCCTTAATGTCCAAAACGTGGAGCTCCTTGAGCTTAAGGTGCAGGGTGTGCTCCTTCTTGCCTAGCGAGCATCAGTTGCAAGATCTGCTGGTTTTGTGCCACAAGCAGTTGCATAGTCTCGAGCATCTGCTGCGCATTTGGGCATGATTGGTTGATGGAGGAACAACCTTCTCCTCTCGTGGTGGGGTGTTATCTTCAGGCTGATTCATGGATCTGGTGGTGATCGTCATTGGTTCAGCAAATGAAGTGTTTAGAAGTGAGAATTTTGTTGTTCCCACAGACTGCGCCAAACTGATGATACACAAAATGATTTTGCACACCACCTGTCAAGTATAAATAATAAATGCAAGAAATAATATAAGAAGGTGGAGAGACACAAGCAAATTATAGTGGTTCGGTCAACTCGACCTACATCCACTCTTGAATGGCTCTGGTCGCCGGGTATTTTATTAACTCAAAGTGTAAGGAGCAGAGAGTACAAACTTTGAGGGAGAGGAGAGAGTCGTGCTCAGGTAAAGTGTGATGCACAGGTAAAGGTGTGATGTGATCTCTGCTCTGATCTGCCCTCCAAGTGTTAGTGGGGCTTACAATTTATAGTCGTCCTCCTAACAGATTTATGCGAAGTATTAGTAACTACATAACTATTTCGGTGGAGCTCACGACTTCTCCTCAATGGGCTAGGTAGTTGCGGTGCTCTCCATGAGATTCGGTCAAATGATGACGTGGATGTTGACTCTTTCGATGGGGAAGAGGATAAGATTTTTGGATGACCTTTACTCCAAGGTGGTAGAGGAGGAAAGTTGGGCGCCTGCAGCCTAGGACAGCTGGGCATCAGGAGCTGGAGGTGCAGCTTGGGCGCCTGCAAGATGGCCTTGCATGCTACTAATGATATAACTTGTGGAACCTGATGAACTTGACTGAGTGCAGACTCATTTGGACTTGGTTAGCCGGACCTCTTGAAGTTGGGTCCTTGGACTTGTAACATGAGTTGGGCTCTTGGGCTTGGCCCATCAGAATTCATGCTCATAGTTTTTCTGCAAACTAAAAATTAACTTAAATAAATATAATAATAAGAATTCGTAAAATATCTTTTTTATATAATAATACGTCAGTGCTTAATAAATAGTTACAAATAATTAACATTTTATATCTATAATACTAGTTAAAATGTTAATTTCGTATTACTATACAAACGAGAAAATAGAGAAAATGTTTATTCTTAAATAAACAAGTTGATGTTGTCAATTTTTGGTCTAACGGGTTGAACTGAATATGAGCTGTTTATATTTCGTATTCATGTATCAGGTCATTTTCGAGTTCGTATTGAGTTATAATAAAGTTAGTGTCATGAAATTCATATTGAGTTCGAGTCATGTCATTGTGTTAAGTCGAAAATTTTTACCTCTAACTAAGATCGAATTTTTTTTAATTTTTAAAATTTTAAAATATATATAAATACATATTTTATCATTACATTTTTATATGAAATTAATGTATATATAATATATGTACATATAAAAAGATCTCTATAATAAATTAGATAGGTGTTTGAACTTATGAAAGGTATATTTGGCCCCCCCTGCCCAAAAAAAAAATTCACATCCAACATACACCCCCTCCCAATTCAAAAACTCAACACACACAACTCCACTATACACACACTTCAACACACATTCTAATATATACACAGTGTAATAATTCAGTGTACAATAACTTTAATCACAGGATATCGTTAGTATATAGATAAATAAGATACATCTCAACACAAATAATTAATTTTTCATCCACTTTCCTTCCAATTTTAGAGGGATTAATTTTAGTGAATTAGAAGGAAAGTTAATTCATTAATTTTTTCATCCTTCCTATTTTTTTTCTTTACCAATCATGATGTTTTATTTGTTATTTCAACTTTCCATCATATACCAATCAGAGCATAAATCTTTAAAAGAAAACGTAATCTTCACCGGACTGCACCAAAGATGAATCAGCTAAAATGAAATGTCTTTCTTTTGAAGGCTCAAGAATGGCCAAAAATTTTTCCGTAGAGAAGTTTGATGATGTGGCTATAAGAATTTCTCAAGGCAAAAGGACATTCAACTGCATGCTGAAAAGATCGGCAACAGCTGCACGAGCATCCATCTGAACAAGTCCAACAATAATCAGAAAACTGGGAAGGAGCTCATAATCTGTGTAACTAGCAAGTTAAGCTTGTGGGCATATATCTTTTTTCAATTATTTCTCAATGTTGACACGACGTCCTTTCGCCTTTATTTATCTGTTTTGAGTATACAGTTTTTTAATTCACCTTAATACACCAGGCCATCTCAACAAAATCTGCCACAATGTGAGTGCCGTGTGTGACAAAAAGTAATGGATTAAATATATTTTTTGGTCTCTAAAATATGTCCTCTCTGTCAATTTGGTCCCTGGAATTTTAATTTTTCCAATATGATCCTTGATGCTTTCAATGTATTTAATTAGTCCAATTCCTAACCACCATTTAAATTGATAATGGAAATGCCCATTTTCTAATCACGTGAATTGTCTGTGAAGGAAATTGTGGAAGAAAAAAAAACCAAATCAAAAGTGGGTCAAACGGGTTAATATTCTATTGGAAATCAAACGAGTCAGCCCAACTTTTCCACCGGAAGGCCCATGAATATTGTTATGTTTTGTGTTCTAGACTAAGGATAGTTTCATACTTTGTGATTTTTTTGAAGATTTTTAGTCTTATTTTGATTTCGGACAAGATCATTGACTTCTTGAATCTGCAGCTATTTGTTGAAGTTAGATCAGATTTGGAATGGTTTTTGGACATTTTTGAGGCTCAACTAGTGGTTTTTTCATCCCATGTGTAGATTCGACCACTGTTTGGACTTTGATCTTGCTGTTTTTGGCTTCAATTCTCCTAGGTGGGATGGGACTAAGTCAGATATGCTTGTCCACGAAGTTTTGTTAGAGTTGGATCAAATTTGAGATTTTTTGGGCCAATTTTGAGGTCTGCTACAGTATTATTTTTGCCTTTGTTCAACTCAGAACTCATCTACATTAAAAACTTGCATTTACTCTTGCGAGCTTTTACATTCCATGCATTAAAGAGGGAAACCAATCTTCCTACAAAGAACCCTAACTTGAGCATCGAAGTTCTCCTGCCAGGACAACACCTGGCACTCTTACCTTGTTCTATTTTGAAGATCAACGTATTCAGTCAACACTTCACCCCTTGGTGTTGAACGGATTCATCACCTAGCTTATAATTTTCTTTGAGATGGAGTAAAGCAAGAAGTCCAGGCCAACAAAATTAAAATTAATTTTGATACCATTACACTGTCATCATACTGAAAAGCTAAACAATTCATTGACATAGTGCTTCAACTTTTGATTGCGCTTTCAGCAAGTCTCTTCTTCCAATAAGTGGTAAGAAGAGTAGACTAATTAAGCACTCATTATATCAGATTCTTGAAGACCTTGCCCATTACTTCCCGCGGTTTGCACATGACCACCAAAGGGTTGGCTCTGGGCATTGCGAGTCCTGTGCCTTCAGCCAAATCATCCTTCTCTGCATTAACTCTATCCCATTCAAAGCTCTGAATCAAAGAACCCAAAGTCGATCCCACCACACGTTGTCCCAGCCCAGCCCCAGGGCAAACCCTCCTTCCCATCCCGAATGGCAATAATTTATGCGCTTCAATTTCTCTACCTTCAAATCTCTCAGGCCTGAAGCAGTTGGGTTCATCCCACACCTCAGGGTCTCTGTGAACGGCCCATGCGTTGGCCAGTATAATGGTGCCGCGTGGCACGTCGTACCCCCCTAGTTTACAATCCTCGGATGATTCATGCGGGAGTATCAATGGAAGTGGAGGAAACAATCTGAAA